GCTGATCTGAGTCCAGTCCTCTCTGCAGTGATTCTAGAAACTAAACTGTTGGTTACATGATGTCCATCACTGATCTGTAGAGTCCTCAGGAATAACCATCAATGACCCTTTCCCAGTTTCTCTGGCCATCACCCTACTTCCCCCTTACACTTCCTGTTGATTAACCTTCCAAGGCAAGGTAACCAACTGATTTCAGTCCAGCATTTTATTGGGTACTTGTATACTCTGTGCCATACATGCTATGCTAAATGATCATATTCTATGAAAGATATTTAAATAGACAATTACTCTTCAGTGTAATGAAGTGTAATGCTAGGCCTTAACTATGTCCTAGTCATCATTGTATCCTTAATCCCAGGCCAGTTAGTTAGCATGTACTGAACACCAACAAGGGGCCAGGCACCATACTCAGTGCCAGCCCTTCTTTCTCAGCGTAACTGTTACAAAAAATTTTATAAAATAAGTACTAGTGTAATCCCAGTTTTAAAGTTGTGGAAATTAAGGGCACAAAACAATTTAAAAGACATGCCCCAAATCACACAGCTATTAAGAGAGCCAGGATAAAAATCCAAGCAGAGTGTCTTCATTGTCTCTAAATATTTGTTGCAGGAGAAATGAGAGGCAGAAAGGGGAAGGCAGTAGGAGAGTAGGGGAATAAGTGAGCAAGCGAAGATGAAGGTCTGCCCCAGGTAGCTCAGGTCCACAGGGGATGAGTTTATTCTACCTGGGAAGGGAAGCATCATGGAAAGTTCGCAAGGGAAGTGGTGCTTAGAGAATAGGCGTCTCTGGCCAAGGCAGGCTAAGGGAGTAGAGCTAAGGCCAGCCCTTCCATTTTTGTGCTAGATCCTTTCCCCCTCTGCCTTCTCAAAGACATTCTCCCCCAACCTGGCCAACATGGTGAAACCTTGTCTACAAAAAATACAAAAATTAGTCGGGCGTGGTGGCGGGCGCCTGTAACCCTAGCTACTCAGGACGCTGAGCCAGGAGAATCCCTTGAACCTGGGAGGTGGAGGTTGCAGTGAGCCGAGATTGCGCCACCGCACTCCAGCCTGGGCGACAGAGTGAGACTCCATCTCAGAAAACAGACAGACAACAAAAAGAAACATTCTCCCTACAACTGTCCTATCTCTACTGCATCGTGAGTTTTTCTTTTATTCTAACCAGCTTCTAAACTTAGGAAAATATTTCCTAACCTCAAAAAACAATTTACCCTGCTTCCCCGCTCCAGCTATTGCCCCGTTTCTTTGTTCCTTTGTAACAGAACTCCTAAAAATAGTCTGTGTTTCATGACTTCAGTTTCTCTCCTCCTGTTTTTTCTTAAACCCAGTGAAACGAGTTTCACCTCCACATTCCAGTGGAATGGCTATTGTTGAGGTCGGTGGTGACCTCCCTGTTGCCAAATCCAGCAGTTAGTCCTGTGGCCACACCTTACTGGACCTGCACAGTGTGTGATGCAGTTGGTCTCTGCGTCCTTCCTGTGATACTTCGTTCACCGCAGCATCACACTCTCCTGCTCTTTCAGCCTCCTGCAGTGCTACTCCTCGCCTCCCAAATGCTGATCCTTCAGACACACGCCAGCCAGGGCACCCTCCCACTGGATATCATGTGGTGACTCTCCCTGTGATTGGATCTGAACCCAAGCCAGGCGCTCATGGCAGCCACGCGTCTCACACAGCGTGTGTGTGGCACCCCAGAGGATAGGCATCCCCTCCAAATGTGCTCCCTCACCACATCCTCATGCGATTGTTGGAATTACGTGGTTTCCACTGCACATGGGGAAGCTGAAAATCAGATTTTCCATCACTTGCTTGTCAGTGTCCTCTGTGAAAGTTTCTGATTCCAGATCTGCTGCTTTTCCCATTTATGACCCATTGCTTGGCCTGATTCCTTAAACTCGCTCCTCCTGAGTGAAGCAGGAGAGTGGAAGCGTCTGGTTCCTTCTTTGGGACTCCAGCCTGTCCATCTGGATTTCCTCTTGTGAGTGCAGTGGTGACACTCTTCACCCCAGGGGCTTGGTAGTCACATTTGCAGGACAATGGGTGCTCTTACTGGGTTTAATGCTAAATCTCCCAAAATGAAAGGCCAGCTGCAGAGTAGGAGAAGAACAAGGGCTGAGTGATTTGATCAGACATCTGTGGGGGCCTGCTGGCATTTGGAGTGTGAGTGCCTTAGAGAGACTAACTATTCTGGCCCCAGGGAGTTGGCGACAGTTAATCTTGGTGGTTTTGACCGCTAACTGCCCTAGAGGTCCCAGCCTGCTGGATGACTCAGAATCCCCAACACTCCCCCTATTCTTCTCTCACTGGGATAGTCAGGAGGCCATTTCTAAGGCATTTTAATTTGGTAATAACTTGACATGACCCACTGTACCCAGAGTTGTATGTTTTAGGAGTTACTGTCGCTTTCTAAATGAGGGGTTCATTTGGAGCCCATCATCCTTGATGTTGAACTGCCTTGCACTGCCGTGGAGGCAGCAGTATCTCCTGCCTTGCCTGCTGGGCTCCAGCTCCCTCTCCATTGTAGATGACGTGATCCTGTGCCCCCTGGACTGTCCCACAGCCCTTCTTCTTTAAGCACCTTGTCAAAAGTTGAGGGGGTAAATTAGAGAGAAAAAAGGTGGCCAAAGGTTTGTCCGTTGTGCGTTTATTTCTGCACTGCACTGTGTTAAGAAGGGCACCTGCTGTCCATCTTTCTGCTGTTTATGAAACCTTCTAGAATTCAGAAAGACCACAGGAACTCACAGCACGAGGCAGGCAAGCAGATGGTGGGAGATTGGGAGACAGGACATGAAGAGACTCAAAATGCCTTACTGCCGCGGACCAGAGCTCTGTGAGACCTTCTGGACTGTCTTCTCCACCCTGTCTCCAACTGTGTTGACCACTCCTGTGCTGTCCTGTGCCTTCCTCTGTGACCGTGTTGGTGGCAGTGCCCTGTTAAGAGTTCCTGCACTGGTGTTAGAGACCTTGGGTTCTAATCCAGTGTCTACCACTTGTATGATCTTGGATTAGTCTCTTCATCTTTCTAGGCCTTGTGTGCAAATTAATTCATAGCACCAACTCACAGAGTTGTTGAGAGAGCTAATTGAAAACATCTAGAACGTTTTCGTCACTGTGCCTAGTCAAAAAGCTTGTAATCAGTTCTGTAATTGCACCGAGGTTTATATTTCATTTCAAAAATACAGTTGTTTACGTAAGAAAAGATTGTTTTGCTCTTGTTAAAATTCTGGCTTTCTTTTGCCTACCAAATAAAGTCTCAGCTCCTTGGCTTGTCACTCAGCCTTCAGGTTGCATTTCAGGCTTTGAATTTCCTTGGTGGGGGATGCTTGAAAATGTAGATTTCTAAAAGAAATTGTGCGTTGATCAGATGAGTTTGTCTATGTTCAATGAGCAGTTACTCTGTGTAAGGCTCTGGGCTAGGCCCGAGGGGTCTATGGTGAATCAGACATGACAGTAGGCAGTGGCATCATCATTTCTTGTACCACCACTCCACACCCACCCGCCCAGACCCTGCAGAAGGCATCCTGGAGGGTAGGCTTCCCACAGGGCCCCATCACGGTAGAGCAGCTGGGCACCAGAGTGTTGGCAGCAGGCCCAAGGGTGGGGGTGGAGGAGGTGGGGACTCAGAACTGGCAGTCAGCCAGGGCTCACTCAGGTGCCTCAGCATGCAGGGCCTCCAGCCCACAGAACCCATTCACTGACTATATCCTGTTCTTTGGTTGTGATCTTCTCTAGACTGAATGGTGCAGAGATTTTGGTGGCAGGACAGTGACTCCAGACCCAAATTGAATGCATAAGGACATTGAAACCCAAAGATGTGAGGTGGCATGATTGTGGTCACACAGCAACAAGCCAGGATTAGAACACAAGTCCTCTGAAAAATATGCAGCAGTCTCGGCCTTGCGGGTTCCTGAGATTGCGTTGTCTGCAGTGAGACTTTCAGGGCCATTTTGTTCCTTAAGAAAGTTATAGGGGTCTTCTCTGTGCCCATTTATGCAAGGCACTGGAGAGGGTAGACAGGGTTAAATCAGACTCTGACCTTAGGATTTTACAGTGTGTCAAGGGAGACATACTACCAAAAATTACAATACAGAATAGCAAGTGCTGGGGGTAAGTATATGATGTGAGGGGCAGGGGGAGTGACTGTACAAGCACAGAGGAGGCACTTAGCCCAATCCGAGGGTCAGAGAATCACTCCCAGTGAAGCTGATATTTAAGCTTAATCATGAAGGACCAGTAGTTATTAGCCAGATGAAGAAGGACAAGGAATAACATTCCAGGCAGAGAGACCAGGAAAGCATCCTCAACTAAAAGTCTAATGGTTACATCAATAACCCCAATTACATACATTTATCATGTCTGTATTCGGCCACTGTTCGGGACAGTTCCCACTATTGGGGAATGGTTCCTACTGGGTGGATCATAGCATGAATGGAGAGAATAAAAGCAGATGAGGCTGGCCATGTAGGAACATACAAGGAAGGTGGAAAGGCCAGGGGCTCTGACCATCAAAGCCTGAGTATCTCTATCCTGTGAACTCCAAGCACCACTCCCCCGGGTATTGGAGCCTTGATAGAGCTCCTCATTTCCTTGGTATCAGGCTTCCTGCAAAGAATCTGTGAGTATGAGCTGGGCATGGTGGCTCCATGCCTGTAATCCCAACACTTTGGGAGGCCGAGGCGAGAGGATCGCTTGAACTCAGGAGTTCAAGACCTGCCTAGGCAACACAGTGAAACCCTGTCTCTTAAAAAGAAATCTGTGAGAATCCAGGTAAGTTCCTTTTACAGATACTATCCAGGGGCCTGACTTACTTATCTATTCCTTTAGGGTTTGGGGATTTATTTTGTTTTTACCCTTAAAGCCTTAATGTGGAAAAATGCCTGAAGTGCTGATTGTAGGAATGAAGCTTCACTCAAGAGTCAAACACCTACAGCTCCTTACGAATTAATAACCCACTCAGTGCTCAGTACCTGGCAAGCTGTAACTTTCCTTCTCTTCCCATAGGCCTGCTGAGTTAGCCACCAAGTACGCAAACTTTTCAGAGGGAGCTTGCAAGCCTGGCTATGCCTCAGCCTTGATGACGGCCATCTTCCCCCGGTAAGTGCTTCTGTTTCCTCCACTGCCTAGACAGCCTGGTCTGGGGTCCAAGAGCCAGAAACTCTGCCTCTCACAGCCAGTCATGTTCTCCTATGCTCTGGAAACCATGGGTTCCTGGAAAGGACTCTGCCTTTAAGTTGGTTCCTACTCCAGTCCTACTCCATGCCCTTGCTTTGCCTTACTCCCATCCTGTCTCTGGAGCTTGCACCTTGTGGCACAGCCTGTTTCTGCGGAAGGATAACCTACATGGTTGCCCCATGCAAGCCAGGTATCCAGAGGCAGCCAGAGAAGGCTGCCAAGCACAGAAGCTCCTAGACCTAGTATCAGTGGCCAAACGAACTTTTTTGGAAGCTGGGACCAACTAGCTGGCTTCAGGGAGGCATATCCAAATAAAGCAGGGAACAAAGAGAAATTTCTGAGGCTGTCTTGAGTTTTAGCACTTTCCTTCTCTGTCCATTTTGCATTCTGGAGCTGCTGGCTTCTTTGGCACCTGACAGAATCTGTGCATAACCTAGGGAGTTCCTTTTACCAAATGCTGCTAAGGAATCTTGCCTACCGATCCATCCTCCTTTTTGGTTTTCTTTTCTGAAGCCTTGATATGGAAAAGGAGCTGAAGTGCTGAGATTGTCTTTGGAGTGCAGTGAAACTGTCAGAGTCATTTTGTTCCTTCTGATTTGGAGGGGCTGGAGGAAAGGCTGCCTAGGATTGTCTGGGCACTTGGACCACCAGAGGAGTGCTAGGGGTGGGCTCTGCTCATTGGGGGAAGGACTTGCCTCCCATCCCTTAGAAGGCTGAGGTTAAGACACACAATGTGCTTGCAAAGGAATGCTGAGAAACAGCTGGCCCCAAAGTAACTCCAGGATATTTGGTTTTTATGCTCCCTTTCTTTTCTAATGTGAGCAGTCTCAGCTTAGCTCCTTGTGTAAAGCAAGGGCTATGCTGACTGAGTATCCAGTGCTCAGATAGAGATCTCTTTGTCCAGGGTCTGCCTTCTGAATTGATTCCAAATATTTTGCTTCCTCCAGCTATTTATTGAGTGCCCCTGTGTCTGGCTTTGTGTTCTGTATTCTTAACACAAGTTTTTGCAAGCCTATATGACTCAGTCCCTTGGCCCAGACACCTGTGAGTTTTCCTTGACCAGTATATAGGTTTCTTTTACTTTTTCTAATTGAAAGTAAGATAGGCATGTGGAAAACAAAATAAAACAAAAAAAAACCTCAAACAATACAAGAGGTATACTGCCACTCCAGGCCCCTTCCAGAGACAGCCAATATTACCATAAATGGGAACATACTGTATTTAGTATTCTGTGCTGTGTATTAGGCCATTCTTGCATGTCTATGAAAAAATATCTGAGACTGGGTAAATTGTAGAGAAAAGAGGTTTAATTGGCTTATGGTTCATTAGGCTTTACAGGAAGTATGGTGCTGGCATCTGCTTCACTTCTAGGAGGGCCCCAGGAAACTTAAAATCATGCCAGAAAGCAAAGGGGGAGCAGGCACGTCATATGGCAAAAGCAGGAGCAAGTGAGTGAAAGAGAAGAAGTGCTACACACTTTTAAACAACCATATCTCACAAGAATTCACTCACTATCACAAGAACAGAACCAGGAGGATGGTTCTAAGTCATTAATGAGAAACCACCCCCATGATCCAGTCACCTACCACCAGGTCCCATTGGAGATTACATTTTTTTCCTTCCTTTTTTTTTTTTTTTTTTTTTTGAGACAGGGTCTTGCGCTGTTGCCCAGGCTGGAGTGCACTGGTGCAATCTTGGCTCGCTGCAGCCTTGACCTCCAGGCTCAAGCAATTAGCCCACCTCAGCCTCCCGAGTAGTTGGGACTCCAGGCACATGCAACCACACCTAGCTAATTTTTATATTTCTGGTAGAGGTGGGGTTTTGCCCTGTTGCCCAGGCTGGTCTCAAACTCCTGGACTCAAGCGATCCACCCACTTTGGCCTCCCAAAGTGCTGGGATTACAGGTTTGGGCCACTGAGCCTGGCTGGGGATTACCTTGCAACGTAAGATTTGGGCAGGGACAGATATTCAAACTGTATCATTCTGTCCCTGGCCCCCACAAATCTTATGTCCTTCTCACATGTTAACGTACAGTCATCCCTTCTCAATAGGCCCTGCAAAATCTTAACTCATTCTAGCATTAACTCTTAAAGTCCTGAGTCCCATATCTAAATTCTTTTTTTTTTTTTTTTTTTTTTTTGAGACGGAGTCTCACTCTGTCACCCAGGCTGGAGTGCAGTGGCCGGATCTCAGCTCACTGCAAGCTCCGCCTCCCGGGTTCACGCCATTCTCCGGCCTCCGCCTCCCGAGTAGCTGGGACTACAGGCGCCCGCCACCTCGCCCGGCTAGTTTTTTGTATTTTTTAGTAGAGACGGGGTTTCACCGTGTTAGCCAGGATGGTCTCGATCTCCTGACCTCGTGATCCGCCCGTCTCGGCCTCCCAAAGTGCTGGGATTACAGGCTTGAGCCACCGCGCCCGGCCCCCATATCTAAATTCTTATCTGGAAATGAGTTCCTTTCACCTATGAGACTGTAAAATCAAAACAAGTTGCTTACTTCTGAGATACAATGGGGGTATAGGCATTGGGTAAACATTCCCATTCCAAAAAGGGGTAATCAGCCATAAGAAAGGGCCCTCAAGTTTGAAACCCATCAAGGTAGTCATTAAATCTTAAAGCTCCAAAATGATCTCCTTTGACTCCATGTCACACATTCAGGGCACACTGGTGCAAGAAGTGGGATCCCAAGATCTTGGGCAGCTCTGCCCCTGTGGCTTTGCAGAGTGCAGTCCCTGCGGCTGCTCTCATGGGCTGGCATTGAGTGCCTGAGGCTTTTTCAGGTGCAGGGTATAAACTGCTGGTGGATTTACCATTCTGGGGACTAGAGGATGTGGCCCCCTTCTCACAGCTCCACAAGGCAGTTTCCCAGTGGGGACCCTGTGTGAGGGCTCCAATCTCACATTTCCCCTCCACACTGCCCTAGTAGAGGTTCTCTGTGAGGGCTCTACTCCTGCAGCAGGCTTTTGCTTGGGCAGCCAGGCTTTTCCATACATCCTCTGAAATCTAGGTGGAAGCATCCAAGAATCCTCCATTCTTGCAGTCTGTGTACTCTTAACACCACATGGAAACTGTCAAAGCTTGCAGCTTGCATTCTCCAAAGTGGCAGCCTGAGCTGTACCTTGCCCTTTTTGAGACATGGCTAGAGCTGGAGCAGCCAGGATGTGGGGAGCAGTGTCCTGAGGTTGCATAGGGGCCAGGCCCGGGGCCCGACCCATGAAACCATTTTTGTCTCCTGGGCCTCAGGAACTATGATGGAAGGGGCTACCTCAAAAATCTCTAAAATGCCTTTGAGGCTTTTTCCCTGTTGTCTTAGATATTAGCACTTGGTTATTTTTTAGTTATGCAAATGTCTCTAGCAAGTGGTTACTCCACAGCCTGCTTGAATTCCTCTTCTGAAAAAGCTTTTTCTTTCTTTGCCATGTGACTTGGCTGCAAATTTTCCCAATTTTTATGTTCTGCTTCGCTTTTCAATATAAATTCCAACTTTAAGTCATTTACTTGCACCCGTATCTGAGTGTAAGCTCTTAGGAGCAGCCAGTCATATCTTGAATGCTTTGCTGCTTAGAAATTTCTTCTGCCAGATACGCAATCATCACTCTCAAGTTCAAACTTCCACAGATCCCTTGGGAAAGGGCACAGTGCAACCAAGCTCTTTGCTAAGGCATAACATGTTATGACCTTTGCTGCATTTCCCAGTGAGTTCCTCATTTCAATCTGAGACCTTGTTAGCCTAGATTTCATTGTCCATATCCCTATCAACATTTTGGTTACAACCATTTAACCAGTCTCTAAGAAGTTCCAAACTTGCCCTCATCTTCCTGTCTTCTTGTGAGTCCTCCAAACTCTTCCAACCTCTATCCATTACCCGGTTCCGAAGTCATTTCCACATTTTCAGGTATCTTTCTAACCATACCTTACTCCTGGTACCAGTTTTCTGTATTAGGCCATTCTTGGCATTGCTACAACGAAATATCTGAGATTGGCTAAATTATAAAGAAAGAGGTTTAATTGGCTCACAGTTCTGCAGGCTTTACAGGAAGTGTGGTGCTGGCATCTGCTTACCTTCTAGGGAGGCATCAGAAAGCTTACAATCATGGCAGAAGGCAAATGGAGAGCAGGCCTCCATTTGTCATGTGGCAAAAGTAAGAGCAAGTGAGAGAGGGGAGGTGCCACACACTTTTAAACAACTAGATATTGTAAGAATTCACTCACTATCACACGGGAACGGTGAAAAACCATTCTTGAGAAATCAACCTCCGTGATCCAATCCCACCAGGCCCCACCTCCAACATTGGGGATTACCTTTCTATATGAGATTTGAGTGAGGACAATTATCCAAACTATATCATGTATCTTCCTTTTTACTCCTAAGAATATAGGTTAGAGATTATTATATTACCCACATATATGGATCCACTTCATTTTTAAAATGAATGCATAATATACAATTGTATGACTGTATCATAATTTTATTCAAATTAAGGTTAAATTAAAATTATCGGTTAATTAAAGGTTAAAATTGTTGGTTAATTGAAAGTTAATTAAAATTATTGGCCTGGTGCAGTGGCTCACGCCTGTAATCCCAGCATTTTGGGAGGCCAAAATAGGCGGGTCACTTGAGGTCAGGAGTTTGAGACCAGCCTGGTCAACATGTCAAAACCCTGTCTCTACTAAAAATGCAAAAATTAGCTGGGTATGGTGACACACACCTGTAATCACAGTTACTCGGGAGTCTGAGGCAGGAGAATCGCTTGAACCAGGAGGCAGAGGTTGCAGTGAGCTGAGATCGCATCACTGCACTCTAGGCTGGGCAACAGAGTAAGACTCCATCTAAAAAATAAATAAATAAAATAAAATAAATTTTGTTTCAAATTAAAGTTTATTGAAGTTTAATTTACAAACAAAATTTCCCTTTTAGTGTAG